GGCCGCAACTACAGGCCCGACTCCGCTCCTGACAAAAAATAGTCGGCTCTGATAACATCACAATTACAACAAGCAACCCTAGCATCCGGTAACCTGATGCCAGACCCGTTAAGGCATGCTTGAGCCTGTTACCCTTGTCTAAGTCCTGGCCAAACCACGACCCTAAACTCCAACAATCCTCCTCCTCTCCACTTCAGCCCCCTGCCATTTTCTCTCTCTTTATTTCTTTATTTCTCTCTCCTTCGCTCTCTCTCTTTCTCTCTCTCTCTCTCTCTCTAACACACACACACACACACTGAGACATTCGCATCTTTTTGTGCCTCTTGTGCCGGAGGACTCGTACGCGCATCACCAAACCTTCGGTCTCAAGATAATGCCCGTTATGCCAGAGTGGACCAGAGTCGTTGAAATAACTCTTCTGACTTCATGAGCATCCAGTTGTCTTCTTGTGCCCCCGAGGACTTAGCCTTATTCCGTTTAGGTCAATTGCTTTGCTCCCAACCAGCCGGCAAATGACAGAGTGCTCAATGGCTGGAATGATAGAGCAAAAAATGTGAAGATCACAACGTTGACTTGAGCTAGAGTCATTGGATAGAAATCAATTGTTCACTAATTCTCTCTACCCCTCACTTACGCATTTGTTGTTTCTACATACCACTGGAATGAACGACCATCCATAAACCACATCAGAACCACACACCAATTCACCCGGCCACACATGCGAACAGGCATTCGCACGAATGCACACAACAGTCATATCATGCACAAAGGAGCAGTCATAGCTACTCGTGCCTGCACCTGTTACGAAATTTCATTTTTTTTGCAATCGCTTTGCCGACCCGCGTCCGTCTCCACCCCTCATTAGACATGATGGCTTCGAATTAATTTTCCCCATCTTCTTTCGGTTTATCGGCCAAACCCATCCGTCTTGCACAGCCAGTGGTCCGGGTTGGGGGAGGGTCAAGTGGGTCATGATTCCGTCATCTGTGGATTGTTTGCGTGTACCTACGTGTCTGAGCCTTCCAGCTGGCCTTGGATTGGCTATTTGGCTATCTGGATCAGACAATCTCATCTGTCCGATTCGGAAGGAGGCAGACCGGGCGGGATGAAGATGATTAGGGATTGAGGGTTGGGTGACAAGTTTGGCCTAAAGTAGCAGCAGCGATGTTTGTTCGAAGCCAGATGAGGTCGCAGTGCCGAAGGAGAGTAGGCTGCTGGAAGGCGGTCCTGCAACAGGTAGACTGGGTTAACAGCCCAGCCTCGGCCTGCATAGATGAGCATAATGCCCTAGCCTA